CACCTCAGTCACGAGTCCTAAGCTGCTGCTGAACTTTCTCTCAGTTAGCAGAATCATTTCATTCCACGGCTGCATGGCCCAGACCTTCTTCTATTTTGCTCTAGGGATTACAGAGTTCTGCCTCCTAGTGGTCATGTCCTTTGATCGCTATGTTGCCATCTGCCACCCTTTGCAATACACCACCATCATGAAGCAGAGACTTTGTTTCCAACTGGTCCTTGGTTCATGGGTGGGAAGTTTCACAGTTATAAGTTTACGGATGCTCCTGATTTCGAAGCTGAGATTCTGTGGGCCGAATGTGATCAACCATTTCTTCTGTGACAGTTCTCCACTCTTTCAGCTCTCCTGCACTGACACGAGTGGGGTTAAGAGGGTGGACTCCATTTTGATCTCAACTTTGGTACTGACTTCATTATGTTTAACAATGTTGTCTTACATGAGCATCTTCTTCTCGATTCTACAAATGCCAACGGCCACAGGCAGACGGAAAGCTTTTGCTACCTGTGCCTCCCATGTCACAGCTTTAGCAGTTGTCTATGGAAGCTGCATTATTTTGTACACCATTCATTCCTCTTTGGATCTTAACAAAGGGGTGGCTCTGCTGAACACCGTAGTGTACCCTTTCCTCAACCCCTTTATCTACAGCCTCAGAAACAAGACTGTCAAACTCGCCCTGAGAGAAACCTTTAGTCGTAGTACTGTAATGTTGTTCCCCAATCTGCGCCATGCTTCTGGATAGGTATAAGAAAAGGAAAACAAACAAAAAAATACCCACCACCATAATGAATCTGTTATGATTAGAAAATTATGTGTAATAGTCCTTTCTCGATCTGTATTTTTTTTAAATTAAAGTTTAGTCAATTCTACTCTTCAAAGAAATCATTAGATTTATGCAGTTTCTCTTGAAAATGCTGATTTATCACACACTTGAGACCAATGGGTAATTATCCACCGATCAAACACTTCCCTGACCGTAGCAGGGCAAGCTTCCTTCGGGCGACACAAAAGCACTTGGGTAACAGACATAAGCTAGGCACATATTTATTCTTTCTGTCTGTAGTTTGAGAGGTTCTTCAATTATTGAGCCTGGTGGTTAGGCTACGTGCATGGGATGTGAAAGACACCAATTCAACTCCCAGCTTCAAATCAGGCCATATAGTGATTGGAACCCGCATGTCCCATGTACCAGACGTGATCCAAGCCATTGGGCTGTAGGGACAGAGCTGAGCTCTCTAGAGT